TTATGCATAATTTACTTGTAATCTTGAATTTTAAATAATATACATCAATATACAGTACTTCATGCATAAAAAATGGTTTTTAAGAGTTTTTGTCAAATGCTTTATTATATAGTGTATATATATAGTAATAAATATACAATAMWTKYAMKARTWMTYWTMTARTATATTTAATATACGAGGACCRCGGARGSGGAGTTGGGGWTCACATTATCCSSCCCCMCCCCYGTCTTATCCCTAGTTTTTAACTTTTGGGGATTCCCGTCCTCATCCCCAATCCTCGTTTTTGTGAAGGATCCTTAACCTGATCAAGGTGAATACACTGGGTCTTCCAATGAGGCGGGTCTCATTCTCATGCCTAACGTCAGCTAAATATGCATTCTCAAATGATTTTTTTTAATGATTTACACATTAATATTTATTTGTTACTTTTTCACGATATTTATCATTTTTATTTAAGTGAATTATATTTTTCGTCATGTAGTTTGTTAAAAGTTGCAATTTTCGTGCTTGGTTTAGAAATTGTGGTTGTGGTCCCTATGGGTTGTAATTAATTGATCTTTTTATGGTTATGAATTACATGTTATTGTTGTTTTATGTCCCTATGGTTTACAATTTTGAACGGTTTTGATCCCTTACAGTTTAAAGGTAGGAATTAATCAAAGACAAAAATAACAATAAAATGCAAATCATAGGGATGAAAATCGCAATTTCTAAACCAAAGGGATGCAAACCAAAACTATTAACAAACCACATAACGAAAATCGTAATTTACTTTTTTTATTTGAACGGACCCGTAACTTACACTTGCCACAAATATATCTATACTATATTATAAAGCATTCGAAAAAAAAACTCTTAAAAACCATTTTTTATGCATAACGTACTGTTTATTGATGTATATTACTTAAAATTCAATTTTACAAGTAATTTTGCGTAAGTACAACCTATTAAAGCTTCATTTTTAAATTCGCGTAACTAATTGCAAATAAACATAATCAAATACAGGATAGACATCCATTTTAAATATAAAAAATCTAAAATATAATTAAGATAATCATTGAGTTTTAATATATCTCTATAAAAAATTATATTATTAAACCAAATATAAATTACTTTGTTATAAATCTAAATTAAATTATAATACAGTTGAATTAATAAGTTACACCAAAAAATGATAACTATTAAATAGTTAATTTGATACTAATATCGATTTTATTTTATTTTTTAAATTTGTATGCTATCTTCAAATTTATATTTCATTCAAATAATAAAAACATTATCGTTTTCTCAAAACCACATAAAATTGTATTATATCAAAAGAGATAAAGAATAAAAATAAGACATTAAAATAAAGATTCATCTTGCTGAATTATGCGAGTACCCTTCTAATATTAGTAACGAAAAACGAATGACAACATATTTACCCAATTGATTGTGGTTTATGAAAAGTTTCTCAATTTTGTATTGTAAAAAAATATTATCGAAATGCATTTTTAATTAATGGCATAAAAATATTTGGGGCTGTTTGGTTTATGCCACATAATGAAAATGAAAATGAATTTTCGTTTTCTTAGTTTAATATGGAATGAAAATATGTCCATTATAAGGGAATGAGCCCATTGTATTATATAATATCAAACAGTTTCTTTATTTTCATTCTCATTGATTATCTATTGCATTTTAGAAACTCTGTTATAACATGGATCTTGTTACGACACACGTTATATTGATGTCAATGTAGAAGGTATGTAATATTAACGTGGTAGTTTCATCTACAATCGTGTTAATGTGCATCTTTTGCCTAGTGACTGTAAAAGTTGATTTTATATCTTTATTAGTTGTTTTTTTAAAAAGTCGACTAAAATCAAGTATTTATGACAAGGAGCTTAGATACAATCAGTAAACATGGGCACAAAATGGCCAAGAAAAAAGTTGATTTTGTACGAATGTACAACAGACTTATGGTTAAGGCATAACTACTTGAAATAATTCTCGTAACTAGTAATTATCATATCAAATACCTGTTGGTATAAATATGCAGTTTTATCTTAACAAATTAGATAAACTTACAATTTAATGTTTTGATAATTAACAAATACCCATCTTGTTTTATGAAATAATATTTTTGTTGGTATTTTAAAAACTTTTAGGGAGTGTTTGGTTCGTCGGAATCCCCCGAAATCTGATGGAATATGAATGGTCAATACCGTTGACCAAATTTCATTTCAACGTTTGGTTACCCATATAATTGAATTGAATTTCAAGTATTCCCAAATTTGAAGAATTCACCATTTCTTACGAAAACGAATGGAATTAAAATACATTTCATCTAAAAATATGTAAATGACATAAATACATTTATTACACTATTAAACCCTAGCCGCTCCATTAAAAATCGCTGCTTTCATCAACACTGCTTTAATGAATATATTTATTTTGAGTCAAGCAATAAATATAAAATAAATCAAAACCATACCAATTGTCACATAATGGATATTTAATGAGAATTAAAAGTTAGATGACTTTCTATAAAAGAAGTGTCACAAGTTTTCATTAAATGGATTTTATAAATTACAAGTCTTATATATATATATATATATATATATATATATATATATATATATATATATATATATATAGGGTTGGGTTCACGTGAGACCAATAGTTTTTCGTGAGACATGTAAGGCCAATTTATGTTCATTGATCAACTTTATAAGATAATGATATAATGGTCTAAAGTTGCACGTTGACAATCTTGTGATTATTGAGAAGTCTCATGGCGTTTATGAATGTTCAAATTATTAGATTGTAGATTTAATCCAAATGTTGAGAATTGATTTTACGGGTCTCATGAAAAATCATTGGTCTCACATGATCCCAAATCTCTCTCTCTCTCTCTCTCTCTCTCTCTCTCTATATATATATATATATATTATAAATTTAAATAAATTGAAGATTTGTTCATAAACTATTTTGAAGTAAAAAATCTTGATCTTTTAGAAACCAGTTTTACGAGAGGAAATATAAGTTTTTCTTAGGTTTTGTATGTTAAAATGATCTAACATTGTTAGAGCAGTTTTTCATAAGAAAATATGTACAGACATGATGTTGGATGTCTCCAAGGGTTTGATCTCGGATGTCCACATTTAACAAAAACACATATGCTTTATACAACAGAAAGTTTTGAAGGAAAAAAAAAGTCAAAATCTGAAGTTAAATGGTTTCAGGTTATTTAGTTTTTAAGTTAAACGGTTCATGTTTTCTGTAATTCTTTTTACTATTTCGGTTAAACCAAATAACATATTATACTCTTATTTTATATTTATTACTTTTATATGAATCGATTTGAGCTTATTGGTAACATTTAACACCATTAAGATTGCCCTAACATTTTTCTAAATATCTATTTATTTATGTATGTAAAAGTAAATAAATAAATAAGAGAAGTGTAAAAACAGAAAAAAAACTAAGATGCATATCAGACATTTATATGCAAACGCAACAACCAAAAGAAGTATAAAAACAGAAAAACTAAAATGCATATCAGACATTTATATGCAAACGCAACAACAATGTATTATCTTTTAAAGGAAAGCAGATGAAGTTTCTGAATTTGCCATAAAGCACACTTCCACTACACAGTCTACACTTATAATATTTAGAAATTTGGTCCCTGTTTTTTGGTGATTATAACACTTTTCATCCTTGTAATTTTAAAATTACAAAATAGTCATTGTGATTTGAAAAAACAACCAGATTTAATCCCTCTCTACGATGTTAAGAGAACCCGTTAAGTGAAGGGGGTTTTAGACTTTCTACACTTATCTGTCATGTCATTTTTCTCTAAAAATCTAAACATAAATTTTATTATTTAATACGAAATTATATTAATTTTAATTTTAAATTTTAATTTATATATAAAATAATACCATATTATGATACAAGTCTCTTAGTGGCATGATGCCTTATTATACCATGGTACAAATGACTACTGTACAAAAGGTACAACATGAGCAGCATCAGGTACAACAATTGATGCACACTTTAGGTAGGATTTTCATTTTTCAGCAAAATCACAAACAGCAAACTCTTTTCTTATACCATATTATAATACAAGTGACCAATGCACAGAAGGTACAACATGAACAACATCAGATACAACAATTCATGCACACTTCTGATAGATTTTTCAGCAAATGCCAACAGCAAACTGAGAGGTTTCTGGTAGCATCCTGTTAACAACTATTGCTCTTAACTTTCCGAAATCATCGCATTCTGTATCGTGACAGTGTGGTCGCCAAATGCCTTGTTGTGGTGAACATACTCTTTATATTGACGAGCTTGGTAGCGTGATGGTTCTGATTCGTTCACCAAAACCTTTGCTGGTTCAACGATACAATCAAGAGGCGGGTTCACAAGGGTTGCGATGCTTATTCTAGTTTCGTGTGGACTAGTCACTACTCGATGATCCATACTTCTAAACTTCCCGTTGCTGATAATCTGCACTCACAAAAACAAATTCACACCATCAATCATTGATGCGAAAAGCGTACCAAGAACCACAGGAATAATGCATCCGGATCCCTCAGTCAAAAAACCAAATGACCCCATTATTTCCCACCAAGTCTGGAGAGGGCAAAAAAGTACGTTGAGCCAGCCTCTACCCCGAGAGTAAAAGTGTAAAACGGGTGTTTCTGGATCTCTCAGTTGCTTAGCAATGTTTTAAACAGGTGATTCAACCTAAGTATCATGCCAAATTAGCATCATCTCAGCCAAACATTAGCTAGGATCCACGTAAAATCTATATTTAAGGGAATTCGAGCGACTTCTTGGCCAGATCAAGTTAAATAGATGCAATATTTAAGTTGTTTGACCTATGTGAAATAGTTTTTCAGATTTAAAAGATGACAGTGGCCTCCGGATGCATTAATCCTACACTTTTGGCTAATTAACTTACGAAACTCGCATACCTCTAGTTGGTTGCCTATGTTAACAACAAAGGCATTAGGAACGGCACCAACGTTTATCCAATGACCATCCTTCAGAGCCTGGAGACCGGGCGAATTGCCTTGATACACAAGAGTTATGAGGCTAGGATCTTGGTGTGCTAATATTCCCAAGGTTAGACTTGGGTCTGGGCAAGGTGGGTAGAAGTTTGATGACAATAACTGAACTTCACTCGTATCCTTAAAGTACCCTGGCTCGAGTCCTAGTCCTTCACATATCATCTCTAAAATCCTCGAACTCAATTTTTGTATTTCTAGTATGTAAGCTGCAATCACCTCCCTGTATGCAATCTTTTGCTTAGGTGGATACGGTTAAAGTGATGCTTACGTAATAAAAATGATAGATCGGAAAACTTACTGATATCTGGCTGGTTTGTTAGGCCATAGTTGAACGCATTCCTCCAAAGGATAACAAAGATGCTTAAGATTTTCCCTCCATAAATGGGCGCCAACTTTTGTGTAATCACTGCTTGTGTGAATCCAACCCTTTGTATGTGGGACGTACTCTATCGCTTCCTTGGATGGCAAGTTGAAGAATTCCTTAAGAACATTCATCGCATCAGTTGTTATCTTTTCTGGGACTCCATGATTGATCACCTGTTTCATGATTTATGATAATAAAAATGGTTATAATTATTAATAGAAATTAGAAACCCACCTCAGAGATAACAAAAAGCAACAATCTTTTTTGGGTAAAGTACCTGAAAGAAACCAAATTCTTTAGAAGCCTTCAAGATTGCTTCAACTGGCTGGATATGACTGTGTACGGCCGTTGGTTTTGCGAGGTCTATAACCGGAATGGAATCACAAACTGGATCATCAAGATTTTGTGGTCTATCTTCCTGCAAGAATATGTAATCATCAGGTACAAAATCGACATCGAACCACCTTGAATCTTTATCCTCCATATGCATATCCCCTCACGTAAATAGTCACTTGTCTAAAATACAATAGTCACACATCTGTTACAACATATACATACACACACAAAGATACATTGAGTCGTATATATATATAAGCTGATTGGAAGATTGCCCTTGTCCCTAGATAAACAATTAAAAACCCTTATGCATTTTCAAGTCTCGGTGGAAATCATGTCAGACCTCATATTCGTTCTTTAATTTTACAACTTGAGACACCCAATCTCCCAACTGGAACTATGAAAAAAGAAAATAAAGTATTTTTCACCTATCAGTGGCCAGGTAGGTAACTTCTAGGTTGGGTACTAAAATCATATATTTAGAAATTGGAATCAAGTGGTTAGACACATGTGATTACTTCTAATATCAGCACTTTTGCTACATTTATTATAAATATTCTAATCACCACCAAGAAGACCAAACGTTATTGGCAGTGATTATATTAAGCAAAGATCTATCTTGAAGAAAGTTGTATAGATATATGTTGCTTTCAATGGCCAAATATAATATAATGAGACAACTAGTTAACATTGACATAAATCTGTGAGGACCCAAGGTTTTTTAATGAAAAAGACAACAATGATACAAAATATATGAATTGTAATTTGTCCAAGTACCTGGTGCAGAACCAAACTGAATCAACAAAAAGCCAACATCGAATATGCTGCTAAAATGTTTGAATGAGTCCTTGGGAAGGATGCTCAAAATCTTGATGCTTTCCCCAATTTAACCCTCATGCAAATGAGCATAAAAATCTTCAAATATTGGTAGTAGATTGCTCTAGTATAAGGTGTATATACTAGGAATGTGACTATCAAAGATGAACCTCCTATGACCAGAACTCAGATTCAAGGCAAGAAAGATGCAGCTAATTTTGGAAATTTGAAGTGCATGCTGAGATCAAATCTTCAATATTCATATGTCATCAATATTTTAATGTGAATTCCACACCACAAACCCTATAATGCTTTGGGATAATAGGTAATAAACTAATAATATAAAATTTGTGTAGAAAACACAAGGTTGGTGAGTAGTGACACCAAGAGAATAGTTAATTACATTTAGAAAGTTAATGAGCAAGTCTTTTTATTAGCAAATGAAATAGTACATGAAAGTTGAAGGACACCATCTTAATAAACAATGGTTTCAAAGAAAGACCTTTTCTTTCAGCCACTTTACTAAGTGCATATGGACCAGATTACTAAGTGCATATGGAGCAGATTGATAAGCTGAAAGAAGACAAAGGAAAAGGGCACATGGTACATCGGCTATGAGATAACAGTTCCAGCCTATGTAAAAGAAACAACACCTTGAAAATGTCTACATGAAGTATAAGTATATTGTGAGATCCCACGTTGGTTGGGGAGGGGAACAAAGGTTGCCTTATGTGAGATCCCACGTTGATGCTCTCATTTTTTAGCATACCTTAACTAGTAGAGGATTAACGGCTTGTTGCTATTCCGACTGGAATTTCTTCTCAATAAACACACCCAAATGTCACCTGGATCAATAAATATACTCTAAAAACAAAGATAAAATTAGCTGTCTTATAGATAATCCAACTTAACGATCTCAACAGACACAGATCAGTATACAAACCATCCTAAAAGACAAAAAATACACCTCCAACCAAGTGTTTGTGTTAGATTTTCTTTGCAAGATCCAAAGATTAGAAGCAGAAAGGGTCACCAAATTTGGCAATCAATAACAAGGTCTTACTTTATAAAGGCAGACACAGGAAAGCCAAAAGCGAAGAGACCCAGGTGCATGTTTAGAACACACTTTCTGAGAGCCTAATTTTACCACAAACAACTTAGGAATGGTCCACTTTTGATCCATCACCCACCCTTGCACTGCTCGAAGGCAAACTATATCCCTAAAAATGTCAATGAACTTCAATCCGTCACCCATCCTTGAATTGTCGAAGGATAAGATGCTTAGCAATTGAGTAGCTCGCCCCATTTATTGACTCTCAAAGGTTGCATTTTATTTTCCAAATTCAAGATATAGCATGTACTTCAGGATCAAGCTTTAATTGCTCCAAATTTGATATCAAACCTATTTGCCTATTGCTTCAAAACGAAAAAAGAAACAGCCCTTTGTCACAGGTGTACTGCACTACTGTCAACTTAGAATTTTCTCAAAACGTTTGGAAACGAACCGCTTGTTCAATTTCAATTCAATTATCGATCCTCATTACTTGAAATTTTCCGACTAAACCCTAACCGCTCCACCACAATAACACTAGACTTATGGTCGTTGACATGATGCTAATAATTCAAACATTACACATGTAAAAACGAAAATCAATCAAAAGTGTATGTATACCTATGGAGTTTGGGTTTTAGAGGCCAAGCGGTCGCAATGCTTAACCTCAATGGAATCGCCACATGCGGACCCTCCGCCATAGCTGATAAAAATACGAATCTATGCATTCTTGACTTCTTGTATTTGAACATCAGCAAACCAAACACAAACAATAATATCTGAATCGAACTCATCGATCAACCAACGGTTTTGAAATGATTATAACATTCTCATTCCGCATCAATCTCTTGTTTCTTGACATTCAGTTAATATTAGTTTTTTCTTCTAGAAATTTTGAAGGAATAATAATAACTACTTTTATAAATTACCTTACTCAAATATCAGTTTTTCTTATTAGAACAATAACTTTTAAAATATTTTTTTATTAAGATATCGTAATTTCAAAAATTTGTTCGTTATAATATTGAATAATCTTTTAAATTGAATTTACCCATTATATCAGCTTTCTTTGTCAACTCATCATCCACGTAAACTGTTCACATGTATTATAATGCTGACATATAACATTATACTTTTAAAATTATTTTTACGGACGGTGATTTGTCCCAACCCGGTGGGGAACCCGGTTCACCCAACCCGAAAGGGGACGGGGATTCCACGCTAAAATGGGTCCCGAGTCCGGGGCCAAAGGATATAACTCAAACCTGGGTCAGGGCTGGGGATCCCCGGTAGAATCAAATTAAATGATATTATTTATGAGATTTGACCGGGAGTTCATAAAGGTTTGATCGAGGACGAGATGTTAATCCCCATATCAGCCGGGGACCGGGGGATGTTACTTCAAACCGAGGCCGGGGATTACAACCCCCCCCCCCCCCCCCAATCCTCGCCCCGTTGCCCTGCCTAATTACTTTATTACAATATCACCAATTTCTATTACAACCTTTTGATTTTAATATTGTTATCATTTAACTATTGTAAATTTAATCAAATATATTTATTAAAAATTATAATATTAAGTTGTATTGATGATGCTTGTATATGTTAACTATTTCGATTTAGTTTGCAAGTTCTAAAGAGAGTGTTTTTTATTTAAAAGAATATAATATTTTATTTAACAAAAAAACTTACATAATGATAAAAAAAAGATAAAATTTCATGTACTGATTGATATATTATTGCAAATACGTTAATGCTAAAAAAAAGTTATCGATTTTAGTGTCTTTTACCTTATATAATATGTAAAAAAAACAAAATAAAAAAACGATATTATAATCTTAAATAATATTTTTTATTATAATTTTTAGTAAACATAGTTGATAAAATTTACAATGTTTAAATGATAAAATAAAAAAAAAAGTATAACGGTATAATAGAAATTGGTGATGTTATAATAAAATAATTTTAAAAGTACAATGTTATAGTAAGAAATGTCATGTCGGCACTATCATATATATATATATACCAGCTGTAGAAGTCTTTATCCACTGGAATAACAAAAAGTTGTCTTCACTCCAATACAGCAGCTGAATCATTAAGCACTTCTCCAAAAGGGGCCGTTTTATAACAGATCAATGATGCTGGAATGCTGCAGCATAAAGCACAGTGTTTCCAAGTTAAAATTACATCTACTCAAAATGTTGTAAAGACAAGTTAATCACTCATTTTAGCTCCAACGTACAACAAATGGAAAATAAAGTAATAAAAATGACTCAAGGTTGAGATAAAAAAAAACAATCTACCTAATAAGTAAAGAAATTGGTATTTTAAGCATTGAATAATCAATGCTTATCAGCCCCTAAGATAAATTCAAAATTTATATAATTTTACTTCATTTAATTCAAGTTCAAAATCTTTCATATCTATTCATGTCATTAATGGAAAAAAATGATTCATAAGACTTTTGAGACATTAGTTTTTATTTGTTATTTGAGACTATTCACTGGTTGACTTGGGGAAAAGGTCAACACAGTTTGATATAGGAAAAAGTCAATCACGTCGATTTATGTAATAAGATACATTTTCAAATGGAATCGACCTTGATTCTTAAAATAAGTACGTGTTTCCTTAAAAACGAGACAAAAACGACAGCTTTTAGGATGAATGACATTTTAAAAGAAAAAAAAAATCAAAATGAGAGAAAGATGAACAAAAATAATTGTCTTGACATATTGATAGTAACTAGTGTTTGACATCGCACGTTGTGCGATGACAATAAAATTCTTAAAAATTTATTGAAGTTAGCTAAATTAGTCGATGATCACATTTATATATTAAACTAATAATAATCAATATTATTACCTTTGATATATGAATATAACTTATCATTATTTGTTGTT